AATAAGTATCTCCCTGTGCTGCAGTCCTGCAGACAATGGATGCTTTCTCTTGTTTCCACTGAAATTCATGTATGTTTCTAACGGGATTTCAGAAAACAAGAGGGTTCTGTTTGCCATTTAGGTTTCTTGCCAGGATTCTGTACTTCTGCGCTAGGCAGTACGGAGAGTCAGTCGACCAAGGTGCGTGTTACAGGACAGAAACCTGTGGGTAATCTGCTGCGCTACAGAAAGATGCTGCAGTCGGTTTGTCTTTGCTGTAACGCTCTGGGCCGATCCCGTCGCAGGTTTAGCTGCTGGTTTGTCAAAGTCCACCCTCTGCCCTTTGCCCCGCGATGACGCTGTGCCTTTCCCTGTCCCTGCAGATTAACCGTGACCGGTGTGTGAGACAGCCAGTATCGGGTCTCCCTCGTTTCAAACATCATTTATCATAAAGGATTATCCCACAGGGGCGCCTGTGCAGTCATATTTAATAACACAAACTGCTTCAAATCAAATGAGTTCTCCGGTGAATTTAAGCCACACTGACACAGCAGCTTGACACTGCTCATTTCCAAAGCTAAATGGAAAATGGTCGTAGGACACTGTGTGCCTGTGGCCCTCAAACGTTATATCCACACCCCGACCACGGGGAAGGCTCAGTAAAGGTATAACACATCTGAAGTCAGCTTGTCTGATGGTTTGTAACAATTTGGGGAGGAAAGGGCAGCAGAGCTGCAACGCTGCTTGCTTTCACTCAGCTCCACCATAATTCACTCAAAACGGGTTGCAAGAAACTGGATTTATATTTAAAACACTTGCTGGGAAAAAAAAGGCAAAATTATTGTTAACTTGGTGAGGAAGCCCAGCTTGCAGTGGCTGTTGCTCTCTGTGGGGCCGTTACGAAGGACACCCAGAGGTTTCTCAGGTTTTCTTGGCTGCAAAACAGTGCTCCGTGGCAATGAATCCCGGGAGGCTCCAGCAGCATCCCACGAGCAAAGGTGGACCCTCGGTACAGCACAAGGTGGTCGTCACCCACTGCCGGCAGCGAGAGGCTGCCCGGCGCTGCCTCGCTCAGCTCCACAATGCCGCAGTGTGCTCAGCCCACAGAGCCGCTTGCGGCCCCATGAATTTGTCCTTTGTTGCTCGACCTCGGGCTGCGGCAGCGGCGAGCAGCTGCCGGCCGTGCAGGTCCTGCTGCCACCCAGCCCGCGGGCACGCAGCACGGGAGCGCTGCCAGCGCCCGGAGCATCCTCCCCTCCGCAGCACAACGGGCTCCTTATCCCCCGCGAGCCCCCGTGACGTGCCAGGGAGAGGGGTGGCTTTGGCCTTAACATTGGTACCACCCAAAGAAAATGCCATGGATGGTTGAACTCTGGCTTCTGCCCGGGACTGCGGGAGTGGCCGTGCCAGCCCCACGCTGCGGAGGAGACATGCTCATCTGAGCGATTTCTCTGTCCCAAAAGAGCTGGTGCAACCGGGAGTTAACCAAGAGCCGGCACAGCCAAACCAGCAGGACGGGCACTTTGGACTCCAGCATGGGGCTGCAGTTCCACCTCTGTCACCGACTTGTCCAAAATCTCTGACAAATGATTTAATCTTCCTCTGCTGCTGCTCCCTCCAAAGCGCATCCTGTTGGAGAGGAGGGCAGAGGGTCCGGGAGATAAGGTAGATAAGGGGGTGTCACTCACCGCTCTGGATTCAACCTGCTGCTGACAGACGCGAGGAATGAGCCGAGTTTACTTGTGAGCGGGTTCTCTGCAAACTGGGGGAGAAAAGCCTTGATTCAGTCCCTGGATAACACACACACTGTTTCCTAACACTGGGATTAGCAAGTGACTGAGCTAAAGAGGAGAGCCCGGCCTCAGCCAGGAGCAGCCACATTAGCACAGCCCTGTGCCAGGGCTACTGTGAGCTTGCAGCATGGCTAATTAGCCCTGGCATAGCCTCTAATTAGGCTGTTCCTAGAGCTGCCTTGGGGCTGCGCACTGAGCTGCCCCAGGCCGGGAGCGCAGAGCCCTCAGCACCACGGGCACACGGTGATTACACCTGCTGGTCCCCAGCTCTGACCACGGGCCAGAGACTCCGGCACAGCACGGGCACAGCAACCCCCGAGGGAGCAGCTCCTGTCCCTGCTCGCAGCAGCCACCCTCGCGGAGGGGGAACTGGTTTTCCAGGTGAGTGGTGGGTGAAACCATCACAAAACACTGCACCGGTACCTCGGCTGCGGAATGCCTTCACCGGTAAAGAATCCAAGTGAAAAGTCCGGGAAGCCCCAAAGGCACTGGGCTCAGCTGCGCGCTGCTTTTACTGCTGCACATCTTCTTTTTTGTGCCGCAGCTTCGTGATGCTGCTGGGGATCCTCCAGAGCGGATCCTCTCCCTCCTCCTGCACAGGGCATGTCTCCCGATTTGGAAAGAGCAAAGCAGGCTCCGCACCCGCCTGGCCATGCACCGAACGGCGCCTGGGCCGCTGGAAAATTCAATGTCACTCCTTCGGTGCCCAGCCCTGACGAAATAAATAACACATTCATTAGTTTTGGTGGCTTTGCAAAGGTTGACTCTGAACTTAACATTAATTAAGTTTCTTGTGTTGCTGCTGGATGTGAGACCTCGCACGTCAGCACGCGGTGAGAGCATCGCAGCAGTGGAGCACATCTCGCGTGCGCCGGCATCACTGCGCTCTCTGACGATGACGTGATGTTTCCCTCCACAGTTCCTACTTCGCTCCCACATTTGGATCAAAATCAAGCCTTGCAATTCCCACTCTGCAGCGAGGCAGCGCGTTACCACGCAGTTACTGCCTCATCCAACCCACGTTAGATGGGAAAACGTGATTTAAAATAACCTGTAGATAACACAGAAAATAGATAAATACAGACAGCGAAGATTAAGAGGAGCAGATCTGTGCCGGCAGCAGTGAATCACTTTGGCTGAATTTGTGCGCGGTTCAAATCAACACGAATGGGAGCTGGATGGCTTCGGGGACCTGCATTGAAATTTTAAATGTGCTCCTTTCCTTGCAGCGAAACGTTACTTTGCTTGCTGGGATGCCGGTCAACAGCAGAAGCATGGGACTACTTCTGGAAGGTTTTTATTTCACCCTTTCTTCAGGACGTTCTTTAGCAAACTCATTTTGAGCCCAATGAAACATTAAACACTGAGCGCTTCGGGACGTTTTCTGTTTGGTCATAACCTTCGTAGCAGCCGCTGCGGCGTCTCCGCGGGGGGATTGGGGCTATTGCGGTGAAACCCCCCGCAGACGGACCCCGCACCCCGCGGCGCCGGACCGCACCGCCCCCCCCGCAGCCCCCGGCGCTCCCTTCGCCCACACCACCATCTAGCGGCAGAGCCCAGCGCCGCGGGCGGC